CGATAGCGATGACGGAAAAAAGGCCAAACATTTTTATTTAATTTAAATGTATTAAATACTTTTATTTCATTCCGGGAAAAACATTTTTATTTGCCAGACTGTAGAATATGTGCAAAAAAATATCAAAAAATCTCCCAAAACATTTTTTTGCATATGTTTGATATTGTCCGCTGATGTGCACTCCACGAAATTTCGTGAAAATATGTGTGTGTTAAAAATTTTTAATTTCTTTCGATCGGTGTGCGCACCGGCAAATCGGTGTGAACACCGTACCACACACGTCAAACATTGCTTCGATTCACACCGATCGAACGCACATGTTTGACGTGTGTGGGCCACTTTACTATTAACACCACTGTGTGTGAGAGGGGGAGTCTTGTGTTTACTATTTGCCAGCCAAACAAACACAAATGATATCTGTCTTATTGTCAATAGGCAAGGCAACAACAACAACACCACGAACAACAAAACAAGATATAGCAAACACAAACAAGTTGTTGTTTCTGTTTTTTTGCCACAATATTACTCCACCATGGAAAAGAAGATGACGAATATTTTTTTGTACTTTTTGAATACGTGGTTGTTGTTGGTTTCAGGTTATTTTTGTATTTTTTCTCTACCACAATTCTTAGGTTTATTTTCTCGTCACCGGGGGAAGACTTTGCAAAATTTTTAAAACACTTTATAAATTATTAATAATATTTTTTTTATGTTTTGTTTATTTGTTTAGGGTTATTCTGTGGGATCACTTCGTAATTTTGCCGCTAAAATAAAAAACTACAACTGCCACTCGTTCACTGACTGACGACAAGCATTTATGGATCATTTGCGGCTGATAACAATTCTTATCTGGTGGCGTTCCGCTTCTTTTATTATTTAATAACCGCACAATTTAGATGGGCTTCCGTAATTTCACATGACAAACACAGCACACACACTCGCATATTTACATTTCATTCATTGTTATATACATGTTTCTTCAGGTCTTTTTTCGCGTTAGCCTAGTTTTCCCTTTTTCGGTATTTTTTCAGAGGGAGTATAACACCCAAATTGTTTTCAATTATTCTTTTTTTATTTAACAAACTCCAATTAAATTATGTACATTTGCTCATTTATAAACCTTAGAATTGTTTATCATTATTTAATGTTGTTCATTCCACTTTCTTGCCAACAATTTCTTGCAATTTCTTCACATTTGCTGCCGTTTGTATGGTTTGGTTTATTAACGCGTATACTTAATGTGTTGTTGAGGTATGTGGGGGCAAATAACGTCAGTATGGCAAATAAACAGCTGTTTTTCTCATATGAAAGAGTGAGAGAGAGAGAGCAAGAAAATAGGGGTATATAAATCGACTAATGTGTGTTTGATAACAAAGAGAGGAGTGTGGTATGAAAAATGCTGCCAAGTTGCGAAGCAGAGATGCCACTCATGAATAATGCAAATATAAATCAATTTCGTGTCGTGGAATGTAGATGGAGCGCACTGAAATATGCAATACTTGATTGTCTGGGCTGTTAATAGCTTGAGATTAATTAAAAATATTTTTTTTTAGGATTATAAATGTGTGGATTATTAAAAAATATTTTTCAGATATTTAAAAAGGCGTGTATTTCTTAAAAATATTTTTTAAGGATTACAAAAGGCCTAGATTTTTTCTGGGATTATAATAGGCGTAATGGATGATATATATATAAAGCAACGGCTATGATTGGCTTTAACATGGCGAAGTCCAGGCTTATCTTGGTCCCTCTTTCATCTCAAGTGTGGACACTGACTTTCCCGCGGTGTCACCTGGGGTAACAATTTTCATCAACCCGTTGAAAAAGTTAGCTGATATTTGCCGCGAGTTCACTTATAAGAACTATTAAAAAAATGGGTTGAGGTGTCGGTTTAGTTGCCCACTCTCCGAAAACCCAACCTACTATGAAAAAGCAAAGAAAAAGAAAACCAAACCTCCTAATGTTGACGACCCCCGCAAACGTATAAAGGACCACGATCTGCGAATCACTGCACTTGGAATGTGCGCACGTTGTACAGTACAGGCGCAGTGTTCGCTTTGGCGGATGTACTCAAGAAGTACAAAGCCGATATTTGTGGCCTTACAGGAAATGCGATGGAAAGGGACAGGGGTAAAGTAAATCAGATGATTACGCCCTGTATTATAGCTGCCATAAAGCGAGACATGAATTTGGCTGCGGATTTATGGTTAAAAGAAGAATAAAACACCTCGTCTCCCGATTAACTCCAGAGCGAATTACTATAATCCGCATAAAAGCGAAGTTATTCTACATCAATCTCATTTGCGCCCATGCTCCGACCGAAGATAAAGATGAACAGACCAAAGGCATATTTTATGAGCCATGACATTAAAATTCTACTATGAAATTTTAATGCAAAAATCGGAAGGGAAAATATCTTTGGCCCCAACGTCGGAAAATTCAGCCTTCATGAAGAAACATCAGACAACGGCAAGAGGTTGATTGACTTCGCGGCAGCCAAAAACATGGTGGTTAGCAGCACCAGATTCAAGCATCTCGATATACACAAGGCCACCTGGATTTCTTCTGATCCAGCAACGAGAAATTAAATTTACCATGTTGTGATATACGAAAGGCATTCATCCAGTGTATTAGACTTTCGGTCGATCCCAGGAGCGAATATTGATTCGGACAACTACCTTGTAGCAGACAAGATTCGCACTAGTCTTAATGTTGCAGCAAAGGCGCAGAAGCCTACTCCGCTGAACTTATGTAACTGCTTGACGAAAGCTCCCCTTGTTCCGATAATAATATAGAAGCACAATGGCAGAGAATTGACCACTCCCTACAAACTGCAGAAAAAGCAACACTTCGGTACCAAAAACCACAATCAAGAAACCTATGGTACGATCAGGAGTGTCGTAATGGTACTGATGTGAAAAACGCAGCGTATAGGGCAACCCTGCAGACAGTGGCAACACATAATGCAATGGAGAATTATCGGGAGAAAAGGAGAGAGGAGAAATGTGCTTTCAAAAAAAAAAAAAAAGAAGAAAGAAAAACGTGAGAGTAAGCAAATCGAGATGTACAGGAGTCAGAATGAAGTCCGAAAATTCTACCAATGGATAAAACACCAAATTGAAGGCTTTGGTGCAGGCACATCCTCCTGTAGAGATGAAGAAGGAAACCTGGTGACAGACACAGACAGCGTGTTGAGGATCTGGAAGGAGCATTTTGAAAAGCTTCTGGTATCAAATAGAGGCGGTGAAGAAGATACCCCAGAACCAATAATAGATGACGGTATAGAGTGTATACCACCTAGCCAAGATGAAGTCAGAAAAGCAATCAATCGGCTGAAGAATAATAAAGCAGCATTTACCGATGGGTTACAAGACGAACTATTCAAGACTGGTGGTTAGATGCTGGTAAGGAGCATTCACCAGCTGATTAGTTCAATTTGGCTAGAAGAATGCATGCCCAATGATTGGAACCTCAGCATCCTGTGTCCCGTGCACAAAAAAGAAGACAAGGCGATATGTGCCAAATATAGAGGAATTAGCCTTCTTCCCATCGCATATAAAGTGCTATCCAGTGTGATGTGTGAACGATTGAAGCCAATGGTCAATGACAGCATTGGACCATACTAATGCGGCATCAGATCTGGCAAATCCACCATTGACCAGATTTTCACTCTGCGACAAATCCTGAAAAAAACCCACGAAAAACTGCAGCAGTTAAAGTCGAAAAGGATCTCTCGGAGCCCTTTAATACTGGACGAGGATTCACACAATGTGACAGTTTGTCGTGTGATCTTTTTAACACTGAGAGCGGTAATACCCACCTTTGAACAAATTGAGAAGGAGTCTGCCAAAGTGGGTCTGGTGGATGTGATGGTCAACAGATGCTACTATGGTCTGAGCAAACAACTCAAAAGCAAGGTCACCTCCCGCCAGACCAAACTCACACTCTTCAAGACGCTGATACTACCCGTGCTGTTATATGGATCTGAAGCATGGGTACTTGCGCAAGCAGATGAGGCAGCTCATGGAGTGTTCGAGAGAAAAATTCTCCGAAAGATCTACGGGCCGATCTGCGTTGATGGTGAGTATCGCCGTCGAATGAACCATGAGTTGTACAAGCTATTCTCGGACATTGACATTGTTAGACGTATTGAGCTGCAGCGACTACGTTGGCTAGGTCATGTTGTGAGAATGGATGAGAATGCCCCATCTTAAAAGGCATCTAAAAGCGAGCCTACTGATCGTTCCCATTGAAGGGGAAGGCTACGAATCAGATGAAAAGACCAAGTAGAAAACAACATCTTGGAACGTGGTATTTCAAAATGGTGGATTTGCGCACAAGACCGACGCGCTTGGAATTTTTTTTTAACAAGTCAGCTAAGTAAGTAAGATATTTTAACACTTAGTCCTAAAGTCGATCTACATAACCCTAGTTTCTCGGTGTATTCCCTTTATTCATAGTTTAAACAAAAAAATAACAACAATTCTTTGTGGTAAATGATAATAATTTTTTAACGATTTAAAACGTAACGTTTAGTCATTAAAACAGAACGAACCATGACCAAAATTTTTGACAGTGTGGCAACCCGCAAGAAAAGCAAGGCGAACGAACGGGAACGGTATGGAATGCAACCATTTTTATTTTTGTCCATTCTCTTTTCAGCCTTCATTCTAAACACTGTGCGTTAGGCTTCCCACCCACATTCGTAAACTTGGTGAGTGCTTTCCATTTTTCTTTCTCTTTGCTTTTTAACGACTATTTTCTATTGTCACCCTATTCGCGATGCTTGAAACGTTTTTAGATTAGGTCGGCCATTTTTGATTTGGCATCTTTGGCTAGAGTCAGAGGACAACCAGTCAGTTGCAGAAAAGTCCTTATATGGCCAAGTCCAGTTGCTAAAAACAGTAGAGAATCCAAACCAAATTCTAATACAACAAAATAACTATCAAGTGAACAAATTAAGTAAAGTGAAGTGAAAAAACAACAACAATTTGAAAAAAATGTTTAATTTCATCAAAGAAGCCATGTCGCCAACTACGCGCTCAAAATCATCGCAGAAATCCGAACTAACGGAAACGACAACAACAACAAAACAAAAAGACGACAATAATGAACAGGAGGAGCATTGTGTTAAGGAATCTTCCTGTTCCATCCAGCCTACAATGGTGGCGCTGAAACCAATTAAAGGTTACAAAATTACTGACAATGAAAGGAGTCGCAAATTCGGTGTTGGAGCCAACTCCTTGGAAATGTTGAAAACAAAGGCCAAACTTAAATTTCCTGTAAGTATTTGAAAGACAATTCAAAATCTTTATTTTCAATTTAAATTGCGTTGTTTATTTTTTGGTTTCCTTTGTTTGAATGTGTGTGTGTATTTGCGAGCCTTTTGTATTTGGGGGTGACCTTGTGGACATGTATCCAAAATCATGGTCAACTGAACAGCAACAACGACAGTTTGTATTCAATGATGTTTACCCAAAAACAACAACACCACCATCATCACTGCCATCAACCATAAATCCCTATTTCTCAAAAAGTAATCCTTACGAAGATGGCCTTCTCTCCACCTCCCTATCACCCAACCACCCCAACCCAAATTGTTTCATTGTTTTGCTTGTGCAAAGGATTTCAATGTCAGCTCCAATGTGAGTAGCACAACAAAAACAACAACAACCCCACAAACAAGGACAAATGCGCACAATCTACTCTTGCATTGACACCTGTTGTTGTGTGTGGCCGCCACCATGAATGAATTGTTGCTGCCGAGGGCAGGCTAAGATTGCCTGGCTAAGTGGTTCAGGGTAGTTGTGTTTTGTCTGTGTGTGTGTGTTGCAAAACTCTCCAAGAAGGCCATTAAACTTTGGCAGATTGCATCTGACTGGGCTGAAGGTTCATTTTTTTAGCTATTTTGTTTTCTATGGCTGATTTCCTTGATTGTTGCCATCTTCCCCCTTTAGCAGCTGTGATAGTGAAGTGCTGCTGTGATGACTCTGTTTATTATTGGTCTGGGTAAAATGCAGGTCAGGGTTAATACGCATTAAAAGCGAGAAGCCTAAAAGTCAAGTTCAATTTGAAAAACAAACAAAAAGGAAATCTATTGAATCTCGATCAAGGTTAGGGTTGAGCAGAATGACGAATTTCAAGGACGATAAGGATGTTTAATTATTTGGGTTAATAGAAGGAAAATCCTACCGAATTTTACTCGATATTATTTTTCAAGGATTCTAGATGGCGTGGATTTGGTAAATTATTAAAAAAATATTTTTTCAAGGAGTGGATTTTTAAAAAATATATTTTCAATGCGTGGATTTTTAAAAAAATATTTTTTCAAGGCGTGGATTTTTAAAAAATATTTTTTCAAGGAGTGGATTTTTAAAAAATATTTTTTTCAAGGCGGGGATTTTTAAAAAATATTTTTTCAAGGCGTGGATTTTTAAAAAAATATTTTTCAAGGCGGGGATTTTTAAAAAATATTTTTTCAAGGCGTGGATTTTTAAAAAAATATTTTTCAAGGCGTGGATTTTTAAAAAATATTTTTTCAAGGCTGGCTTACTTAGCTGACTTGTGACAGAACTTTCGTTCCATAAGCCGAGCTAAAAAAAGATTTCCAGGCGCGTCGGTCTTTTGCGCAGATTTTTCAATTTGACCATTTTCGGTAATGTTGTTTTCCACTTGGTCTTTCCATCGTATTCGTGGCCTTCCCCTTCTGCGTGAACCATCAGCTGGTTCGCTTTTATATGCCTTTGGTCTGGGGCATCTTCATCCATTCTCACAAAATGACCTAGCCAGCGCCTACGTTGGCAGCTCAATACGTCTAACAATGTCCATGTCCGAGAATATCTGGTCAACTCATGGTTCATTTAACGGCGATATTCACCGTCAACGCAGATTGGCCCATTGATCTTTCGGATAAATTTTCTCTCAAACACTCCAAGAGCTGCCTCATCTGCTTGCGCAAGTACCCATGGTTCAGATCCGGGTAGTATCAGCGTCTTGTAGAGTGTGAATTTGGTCTGGCGGGAGGTGGCTTTGATTCTAAATTGCTTACTTAGACCATAGTAGCACCGGTTAACCATCACAATCCTTCTTCGAATTTCAAAACTGATGTCATTCGTTATGTTTATGGCGGTACCAAGGTATATAAAATCTTTGACTACCTCGAAGCTGTAGTTCTCAAGTTCCACAGTTGGCCCAAGTCTACTGGACGTCTTGCGCGTTGATACCATCAGCTTGGTCTTCTCGCCGTTTACTGCCAGACACACTTTGACAGACTCCTTCACAATTTGGTGGCTGTTACCGCTCGCAATGTTCGACCCATTATATCGATGCAATCGGCGTATGCGAGTAACATGTGTTGTTTGGTGTACAGGGTGTCATTTCTTTTCCCTTTGCCTCCCGTATGACCTTTTCCAGCAGGATGTTAAAAAGATCACACGACAAACTCACCTTGTCTGAATCCTCGTTCGGTATTAAAGGGCTCCGAGAGGTCCTTTCCGACATTAACTGCTGACCTTGTGCCACTTAAAGTTATGTTGCATAGCCGTATTAATTTTGCAGGAATGCCGAGCGTAGACATGACTTTAAAAACCTCTGAACGGATAGGGCTGTCAAATGCGGTTTTATAGTCGACGAATAGGTGTGGTATGTGTCGATGTGTTTTTCGTGGGGGATTTGGATTTGGCGCAGAGTGAAAATCTGTCCGCAGATTTGCCAGGTCTGAAGCCGCATTGGTATGGTCCAATAATGTCATTGACCACTGGCTTCAATCTTTCACTTGCTGAGGTTTCAATCATTGGACATGCTTTCCTCTAGCCAAATTGTATTAATCAGCTGGTGCAAGCTTCTTACCAGCATCTGACCATCAGTCTTGAATAGTTCGGCTGGATGCCCATATGCTCCTGCTGCTTTATTATTCTTCAGCCGATTAATTGCTATTCTGACCTCATCTTGGATAGGTGGTATACACTCTATACCATCATCACTTAATGGTTCTGGGGTATCTTCTTCATCGCCACTATTTGATACCAGAAGTTTTTCAAAATGCTCCTTCCAGATCCTCAACACGCTGTCTGTATCTGTCACCAGGTTTCCTTCTTCATCTCTGCAGGAGGATGTGCCGTCAACAAAACCTTCGGTTTGGTGTTTTACTCGTTGGTAAAATTTCCGAACATCATTCTGATTCCTGTGCATCTCGATTTGTTCACGCTCACGTTTTTTTTGTCCTTTTTTCTGAAAATACGTTTCTCCTCTCTCCTTTTCTCCCGGATGTCACGGATGTCTTGATGGTGGTCTTTGGTAACCAACTGTTGCTTTTGCTGCAGTTTGTAGGGAGTGGGCAATTCTTTGTTATTGTGCTTCTATACTATTATCGGGACAAGAAGTGCTTTCGTCAAGCAAGTGGGTAAGTTGAGCGGAGTAGGCCTCGGCTACTTGTTGTATTTGCAGCTTTTCGACGTCGAGTTTCCGTGTTGTGTTAGATCGCACCTTTGCTGCTACATTAAGACGAGTGCGAACCTTGTCTGCTACAAGGTAGTGGTCCGAATCGATATTCGCTCCTCGTATCGATCGAACGTCAAATACACTGAATGAATGCCTTCCGCCCACATAAGGGGGTTTGGTTTTCTTTGCTTTTTCATAGTAAGAGGGTTTTCCGAGTATGGGCAACAAAGCCATTTTTTATAGTTTTTATGGTTGAACTCGCGGCACATATTACCTCACTATTTCAACGGGTGATGAAAATAGCTACCCCAGGTGACACCGCGGGGAGGTCAGTGTCCACAATTGAGATGAAAGAGGTACCAAGATAAGCCGGGACGCCTATGTTAGGACCCTAAAAAATATTTTAAAAAAATAGACGCCTATGTTAGGACCATACAAATTATTAAAAGAAAATCCTACCATTTAAAAATATTTTTCTTTCGTAGATAAAAGACTTGCATATTTATCTAGCCTCTGATGGCTATGAAGTAACCGATGAAGACTACTTTTCCACCCTGGAATCACAGACTCTATTTATTGTGGCTGGACCCGATGCCATAATTACGACTGGTGAGTACATAAGAATATTCGCACTATTTTCAATAAATAATATATTTTTCTTTCCTTTCAGATTCTGACTTCGAATTTGAACAGCTAAGGCAACGCTCTCCACTCCTAAAAGTTGCCGATATCATATACGATTTCATGGAACAACAACCAGAAAAATTCAGTAAATTAATTGCCGAATATGAGCGGAAAAAATTACCCCAACAAAAATATGATCAAAATAAAACTGTAATGAGTATTAAAACAGAACACCCAGAATGGTTTCTGGGGCAGGAAGAAAAATGCCATACCAAAGAGGAGGCATTACAGCGTCGTGCACAAGATCGGGTGCGTTGCTATTATTATAAAACTAAAGATGAGCTGACCCGCAATCGTCTCTATCAACAAAATCAAAAAGCCCGACAAATTATTGATTCGGTATTGGAGAAATTTCGTTATCTTCTTATTGGTTGTGACTATTTTTCGATGATATTCAATCGTAAATGTGAACATAAACATGAGATAATTAAACAGAAATTGGATGAAGAGAAGGATGATGAAACCGATGCCCGGGCAGTTATACCAAATAAAAAGTTAAAGCAGGTGATAAAGGAATACACAGCACGTCATGAAATTCTAGATCAATGGTCGGTTTCCCTCTGCACAGATTTGGGAGATTTCTATTGTCAAGGATCATATTCGGATGCGTCGAATAATTGCTCACTACAACACACCATTAACCCCTATGCCTCAAGAGAAAATCTAATTTTGTTTCAAGTCTGGAATTTAGACCATCAAATAGAATTGTCGCGTACCATTTTACCGGCACTCATTGAAAATGTACGTCAGCTGATAAGTACACCAAAACCTCAATGCAGTATACACAAAACACCCGCTATTGATGTTTCTGTGCTGGAATATTTTTTGGAAATATTCTCGTTGAAAAATCTCAAACTTGTCCACATTGTTTGCCATGAAAAGTCGCAGCGTCAAAATAAATCCAATGGACGATTATTGTGTAAACAGTGTCATGAATATAAAATTGTCGAAGAACTAATGCAAGTCGATTACGATTATAATCCTGATGAATGGTAAATAGAAGGAGAAAAAGTCATACACTCGTATATGTATACCCTCCAATAACAAATTCTGTACAAAAACAAACACACACAAATATTAGTTTATAGTCAAGTAGTGTAATTTGTAGAAATTCCCTGTAGAGCTTGTTAAGTGTTCTTCCTTTTTCCGATTGCCAAATTGTTGAAAACATAACCAACCTTATTGTTACATTAATCTTAAATTTTAGATGTATAGTGTTTTTGGTTAAGTATAGAAGACCTTTTATTAATTATCATTAATATTTTTGTTATATGACCCCTTCAGATCTTCCTATGAGAATACTTGTGTGAATTTTATAAGAATTTTTCTTGAGCTAGTATTTTTCATCCTCTTAAGTGATAGCCTAAGGATCTTCTATGATAAGACCTTTTGAGATTCTGTGACTTCTCCGTGACCACGATATATTTTCTAAGAGAAAATAATTTATTTTTTATAAGAAAAATTTTCTTCGACTATCAGAAGACGTTCTAATATTCGAAGAGAATACCCTTTGGTTCTTACATCATAGGACCTTTCAACCATAAGACTTCGATGAATTTTAAGAAGACTTTTCGTTTTTCTGCATGAAGACGCTTCGGTACTACATAGCAGCTACTTTTAAATTAGCCCTCTATATCTTCTATGAGCTTTACTTGTATATAACTTTTTCTTTTTATATAAAGATCCTTTAGACTACTAGACTTTTCGTCTTTTTAAAAAGTATTCTTCGAAAACTGGTGAATTCTAAGAAGACATCTCGGTTTTCTGTATGAAGACCCATCACTTAATATTGGACCCTTTCTGATTTTCAACCAATATACCTTTTCGCTACTTATAAAAAGACCCTCTGGACTTCTATAACAAGTCTTATTCGTCCTCTTAAGAGAAGGTCAAAGGGTCTTCTGTGATAAATCCTTCTAAGATTCAGTGACGTCTCTTTGTTTTTTCTTCAAGAAGAGGATTCGGTTTTTATAAGAAGGACTCTTTAGTCAACCATAGAAAAAGTCTTTGGTCTTCCATGCGAAGGTTCATTTAGTTTTTTTTTATAAAAACATTTTGGTATAGTATCAGAAGACCTCGTATTCAATGGGAAATCCCTTTGGTTCTCTCATTTTGTAATGATCCCTTCTAATCTTCTATGAATATACCTTTTAGCCTTTCATATGACGGCCCGTTGGACTTCCATAAGAAGTATTTTTCGTCCTCTTAACAGATGTCCAAAGGGTCTTCCGTGATAAATCCTTCTAAGATTCTGTGACGTCTCTTTGTGGTTTCTTTAAGAACAGGATTTGGTTTTTATTAGAAGGCCTCTGTCGTCTTCTTTGCGAAAATCCTTTGGTCATCTATAAGATGGTTCCTTAAGTTTTTTTTTTTATAAAAAAACGTATTTGAAGACCTCATATTCCATGAGAAAACCCTTGGTTCTACTATTTTCTAATGCTCCCGTCTAATCTTCTATCAGTGTACCTTTTTGCTTTTTATATGAAAGCCCTTCGGACTTCCATAATGTGGCTTTTCTATTAACAAGCTTTGTTTTTCTAAGAAGTGATTTTTATAATAAGGCTCTTTGTCTTCTATAAGAAGGTCCCTTAAATCTTCTGTAATGACACATTTTGGATGTACCATCAGAAGACCTTCTTGTATTCAATGAGAAGGTTCGTTGTTCTTCCATAAGTGAAACTTTCGGCAATAAGAACATCATTCGGTGGACTTTTAGACCTTTTTTCTATATGAAAACCCATATGAAAACCCATTGGTCTTCCAAAATATTTCGGTCTCCTTTAAGAAGAGACTTTGTTCCGGTACTGTATACGTTGTGGTCTTCTATTAAAATATCCTTGGGACGCTTATAAGAATATTACTAGGTCCTCCAAAATATTTCGGTCTCCTTAAGAGTTTTTTGGTTCTATTGTTGTTCCTGTATTGTATACCTTGGTCTTCCAAAATACTTCGGCCTCCTTTAAGAATGGTTTTTGGTTCCTATTTTTGTTCCGGTTTTGTATACCTTGTAGTCTTCTATTTAAATATCTTTTGGTCGTTTATAAGAATACCACTAGGTTTGGTATTAGAATACCCTTTGTCTTCTTAAAATATATATTTTCATTTCTATGGGAATACCTTTTGTGTACTAGAAGAAGACAATCGGTTTTTTAGAATAACATCCTTATTGAGAACAATTTTAGGTCTTTTAAAAGGAGACCCTTTGAATAGAATGACATACTCTGCGTTAATAATACCCTATGATTTATTCTAAAAAGATTTTCAGGAGAAACTCAGGGCTTTTGTCATCTATAACAAATACATTTTAATTCCTATAAGACTCTTAACTCTTCTTTTAGAATAACCTTTGATCAACTGCAAGAAGATCTTTCCGTCTTTTATAAGGAGACACATTAGACTTATATAAGAAGGGCCCTTTTAGCTTTTATAGAAATACACTTTGGTTTGTGTGATTTCTATTGCCAGGGATCATACTCGGAGTCGTCGAATAATTTATAAGGATACACATTGAGCTTCTATAAGAAGAACCCTTTGAGCTTTTATAAAAATACACTTTGGGTATTATTTAAGAATGAATTCTACTCCCCTCTTTAGTATTATACAGGAAGATCCTGTAGACTTTTTTCATCATTATTTATTTTGTAACTGAAGCCAAATTATAATTTAATGGCCAATTTATATATAATTACAAAGAATACACTTACATAATAGCTACTTTAGTGTATAGAGTAAGATTAAAGATCTTCTGTCTCTTGTTAGCCCTTTCAAAATTTTCTTGGCTATTTTTAATTTTGTACAGTTTAAATTAAATTATATCTATCTTGCCAATACAAGTTAACAGCGTAGTATACATTAACATAAACAAATAACTCAAATATATAAATAATTTAAGAAACTCGTTCAAAATCTGCTATGGATCTCTTAACTATTGTATACCTTTAAGTTTCATATACAAATAAGCAACAAAAACAATTCTCAAAAACCCAAAGATATCTATTACAAAATCTATACATAAAATATGAATACAACATCCCCGTTTTATTGTTACAGTTTTGTACAACTACACTTTCTGCCACAGCAATAATTCTCTGCATTTTCTCTATCTCTTAATTCCTATAACTATCTATCTACTATTATTCTCTATTTTAAGAAATTTTTTGATATTGTTGAATTTTTATTTGAACTATTTTACAAAAAACAAAGTTACATAGTATATATCTCTCTAAAGTTAACATAATATGCTAATATATACCATATAACAATAATTGAAAAAAATATATCAATAAATTCTAAGAAAATTAAATTAATATTTTCTTTTTCTCTTTTATTTCATTTCATGTCATCAAACTCATTCTCATCAATCAAATCATAAACCTAAAAAACGTAATCAATTTTTGAACTCAATAAAAATAAAGTAAGCCGATACAAATTGCCGATAATAGGATATATCTCAAACCGGTAAGTAGAATAATTTATATTCTGTTTAAAATCTAAATCGAATGAATAATTTGAACGTGATCAATATGTCTTCAGTAATTGTAATTTTCTATATGCCTGAAATCCTTACAAAATATAGTTAAAAAAACTGTATTTTGTAGTCTACAAACTATATATTAAACAGGTTCTAGAGAGAACAAATATTGTTGGAGGAAAGATTTCCACACATTTTTAGTTTTTGACACCGGCGACCTGATGTATAAAACTTATTCAGCCTACTTTGTTAACATTATTAATGCAGAGGTAGCCTCTCAAAAATTTGTACCTCTACATCATGCATATAACGATCATTGGGTAATAATCACTCATTTAGCGGAGGTATTTTGTTCATTTTCCGTAGGAGACATTCTTACAATTTCGTTATAATGCAGCCACAGACCAATCTAATACTTTAAAAAAATATGTTTGAACTTTTTTGTCTGGGCCATAAAAGCTTCCTTCGAGTTTGATTACTTCATTTAACTGTTTTATTATCAAGGACCCACAGAGAAAAAGAAAATGTTGTGAAGGAAAATATATTAGATATCTTAGCTCAACTATGATATATGTTTGTAAAGCTAAGTTTTTTTTTGGGACCTATCCGGAGAAGAGGCCTACCGTATCAATTTTATTAGGTTGGGGAAAAAATCCATTATTTTTTACAGTTCCTCTTAGACAAATGCAAAAATGCAATCCAAGCGGCTAAAATTGTTTATGGTTCCGATACTGCAACAGCAAAAGAATGCCGGTCGTCGAAAATGTTGATAAAATTTGAATAATGATCGAAGTTGACCGGCATGTTAGCAGTCGTAACATCGCCTAGGAACTAAAAATCGATCATAACTGCTTTAAACCATTAACACAAAAAACAATTCATTTCTTTTTACCCACACTAATATATCTGCCAAACAGTCTATGTCTTTTGCTATATAGTGCTGGACAAGTATATGATCAATAGTTTCTATCTCCTCCTCCTCTTCGCATAAACGACAATAATCCACTCCATTAATGTGTCATTTGGATGTGAGTTTGATTTTCCTTTTTTGACAGCAATGTGGTAGTTCTACTTCGTGAAATCTCAGGCGAGTTGGTTTTGTAAAATTCAGTATCCAGACTCTTCAGGCCCGATTTATCATGAAATATTTATATGTCGATTTTGAATTTATACTAGAAGACTTTCCTTTTCCTTACATAATTTGGATGTGAGTGATCTAATCCTGCAGTGACATGTTTTGATTCCAACAATGAGTTTGATACTTTGATATTTTATATGATTTTGTGAATGCATATACTGATTCCTCGCAGTAGATTTTACGAATTTTGCAATAGACGATATGTGGTAGTAAATATCCCTCAATCCGAAGATCGGACGACTGTGGTCTCCCTTTTGTCAGCTTATCAGCTTTTTCATTTTTTATTGTCGCAGAACAAAGGCTAACGACTCAACATAAGTCATGCAGACCATATACCTATTTTGAATTTTCAGAACACGCCTTGATTGTCTTAAGGTTCGCCTGGCTA